GCCCTACCATTCAGCCACCTTTCAGCGTCTCAATGGGGCCGGGGAGAAAGGGCCTGGCCGGTCCACAGGAGCACATAATCTCCCAGGTAGCCTCCTCCTTGAAGCACCTCAGTGCCTGCTATTCGCAAACAGCAGGACTCCACTCTCTACTGGGTTCCTAATCCCTCAGACACACTGGCCATGGAGGTCGCGGCTGTGAAAGTGAAAAGAAAAGCCAGGGGGCGGGGCGGGCACGGAACACAATGTCCCCGCCCGGGCCCTCCAGCGGCTGCGCGCACAATCAGCGCCAGCTGCAGCCCAATTAAGCTCAACAGGTCACAGGTGTTCCAGACAGAAGATGCTTTCAACAAAACCACTTTCTTGAAAATACCTAAGACTTTTTAAAGCACTGGAGCCCGTTTCTTTTGGTGGATTCTTTAAAGCTATTTAGTACACTTGAAATACAAAGAAGCTGAAAAGCACATTTAGGCCTAGCTGGAAGGCGGGCTTTTTCCTTCATGCCAAACAGCAGGAGAAGCAGCCAGGAGCCCCGGAGAGAGCGCGCGCATGCCGGCCCATGCCTGGAGTCCGTTTGAAGCGGCATGATGCATGATTGCCTGGTCTCCAAATATTCTATTTTGCCCTAGACAAGAACAGAGTCCACTCACACGGGCAGGAAACCCGTGTGTGGCTCCATCTTTGTACTCTTAGTTCTGGCTTTCCTGTGAACTACCCCTGCCTTGGGAGGCTTAAAGTAAGCATGCGGGGCCAGCTATCAAAGACACTTTCCCTCCGAAAGCTGCCCTGCTGGCACATCTGGGAGATGGGAGCCCAGCAGGAGGATGGCTCTGGCTGCTTACCTTCCCGCCTTTCTGTGGGCATATGAACAGCTGCGGAGAGGCAGAGGCTTGGTTAGATTCCATCGACCTATTGGAAGTAAGCAAAGAGCCTTAGTGGTGCTTGGGGTCAGGCGCTGGGCTGCTAACCTGAAGGTCCAGAGTTCAAACTGCCCAGAAAAATTTAGTCTCAGAAACACTGTATAGAATTGCAGTGGGTTGGAGTTGACTTAGTGGCAATGGGTTTTTGTGTTTGGTTTGATTTTTTCTTTTTGTGCTGGAAGTGAGCACTTGTTAGGTCCTTACTATAGAAGCTTACTTGACAGATAGCATTCCTTCTTTCCCGCTTCATCTATTACTTGCAGGTATATTTTTTCTGTTGCCATTATTATGATCTCTCTGCTGCATGTAGCCAGGAAATTCAGATACTCCCCAGGCTTTCTCTGGAAATGGTAGTGACTGTCATACATTTCCCATGGGGTCTCCAGTCTTGCAGGGCACCCGAGAGAAGGGAGGGCCGTTGTGAAACAGACATGAACAGGGAGTGGTTACAGAGTAGGAGGGCAAACACCCACCGTGCAGCCTGACCGTTTCGCTGACCTTCCTGTTGATTAGTGTTTGGTACACATTCTTTGATTTGACTGCCCTTCTTTAATCACATCATTTTTAGAAATTATTGCAGCCTTTTTAGAAAGTATGTTGGTTTTAATTTTTGTAATATGCCTGTTTCTCTTTTACTAAGCTGAGCCACCTGTTTAAACCCTTCCCGTCTCTTGGATTGGAGGAAAGGACCGTAGCTATGTAGAAGAGGGTTCATTTTTTCCACAGTGAAGTAAGACATTGTTCTGCTTCTTCATGGCATTCAGAATGCCGCACAATGCCTCTTTTACCCTTTTGCATTTAAAAGTGAGTAATTATATTTCCCAAGGTTCAGTGGTCAAGAGCCTTCTCATCATGAGGAGCAGCTTCCCCACACTCCTCACAAGTAGAGTTGTCTCACATAATCCATTTATTGCTATATTGTTGTTGTGCCAAAGGCACTGCTTTTACAGAGAGCAAGTATAGCTTAGCATGAAAATTCACATTCATGTGCCTCTTTGCTTTCCTTGCTGAGTTCTCCCCCCCAAATTTGAAAACAATTACTATATCCAGTGACTTTGTTTTGAGGATTCGTAAGTATTCTAAAAAATGATTTCCTGTTTCCTCTTAACTCATCCCAGATAGACCTAAGTATTTCAGCTAGCACTCCATTTTGTTCGGTGACATTCATCAGATGTCTGATGGTCAAATCCATTGTTACTGCTAAAGGAACCAGAAGGGACTTTTAGACTTAAGAGCACCCAGTAAAGGGGTGGCATGGTCGCCAGAACGTCAGCATTTCTTGGTCTGGTTTTGAGAGAGAGAGATCTCGGGCGGCCCGTTCTGTTCATCTGTCATCTCCGTCTCATACTGCCCACACCTACAGTACTTTTATCATTGCAGCTGGCTACATATGTTTGCTAAAAGCATGGCTATCTGATTTTTTCTCCAAATTCACTAAGAACACATAATACAAAGCCTCAGCTTCACAGAGCCAGCCAAAATATTTTTGCTTTTACAACCTAATAGGGAAAGCAACCTTGTTGGTAGTTAGCTAATAATTCATTTAAATGATCTTAGTTGGAAGCCTTTCAGGGAATAGGACAAGATGGTGAAAGGATTAGGGAAAAGCTTCAGAAATCCTTTTTGCCAAAGACATTAAGGAGCTCAAGTGGCCAAGAGTTTTCTTTCTAAACGGGTTAGTTTAACATTCCAGACAGTCTGTGATTCAAATTCATCTATTCATCTACACAGCTCAGTGAGGGTCTTCTGTGGCCTCATGGGAAAAATTCAACTGAATTGCTTATCACTGAAACTGGCTTTGAATGTGACGCTAACAGTGATGAGCATGTGTGTGTTACGATCGCAAGTGTCCACGTACACATGTGCCCACTGATAGTTGTCATTGTGGCCCTGTGGCTTCGGAAAACTATTTTGTGGAAGTTTGCTGGGAGGATTATTCCTTTTTGTTGTTGTTGTTGTTTCCATTCTCTGTTTTGGCCTCTACTGGCTAATGGAATACACTTTTTGCTGCCTTTGTTCTCACCTTGCTGTCTCTGCTCATTTGATGCCTGCCGCTCCGGGTGCCTTTTTCTGCCTGTCTAAATTCTTTCCTTCGCACTTTGGGCCATGAAGCCAGTTGCAGTTATTCCCTTCCACCACATCCAAAGCACGTCCCTTATGCCTCTTTGAGAGGACTTCTCATTCATGTTCACGCCCTGCTGGCTGTGTGCACCAGAGAACAGATAACGTCCTGCCCAGCTCCAGGGCTGGCCTCCCCTAGTGAGTGCTCAGCACTGTGGACGGTGCGTGCTGAAACAGGCAGGGCCCTGTCGGATCATTAGCCCGCACCAGTTGCCCTCCCATCGCTCCTGACTCGGAGCAACTGCGTCTCTGTGAGAGAAAAAACATAGGGTTTCAGAGACGGCTTGTTTGGTTTTTTAAGTAACTCTGTTCTGAAGGCATTGGTGTAGGGGCCCATGTGTACTCTCCTGAGGCTGAATGGGGGAAGCACTCCCCCTACTGCCATTGGCCAGCAGGAAATTCACTTCTTTTGCCTCTACCGGTTTCTTCAAACTTTTTACCTTGCAGACATTTCTTCAAATCATTACTCGGATGACCTAAAGGCTGATCAGACGGGGTTGTCTCTCATTAGCCCCTTCACCTCCTCGGGGAAGCCCCCAGACGCCAGTGGGTCTCCTGTGTAACTGTGGATATCCACTTTCCCATGCTGGGCAGATAGTTCCTGGCTTTCTTTGGAATTATTAATGATCACATTCTGATTTTCAAAATAACTTTTTCGGGGGTACTAGAATTGAAATGATTTTACTAAACAAAGCCCAGACGTTCTGTTTTTGCCTTCAACAACGAGGTAACTCTCCTAATTTCTGAAAAGCATTCACATGCCTAACCACTAATAGTTAACTCCAGTGCTCATTAAGGAAACACAGAATTAAAATAGTTACATTGTCGAGATTTGACAAAGCCATCCAAATCTATGCATGTTTTTTTGAAAGCTCCCTAAACATGCTGCTAAATCCCTTAAAAAGCTACTAAACTGCTTTGGCAGCCATTAGCCCCGCATAAGCAGAGGAACCCCTTTCAGTAAGTGAACAAACAGAGAAAATATGCTGAATGGCTGGACAAATGTGTTTCAGCTGGCCCTTTCACTTACTGATATAAGGGCGCAGTCAGTATCAATCACTGTTTCCCTGTGGCCCTGGAATCACAGTATCTCTTTTCATCCCGCAAGCTCTTTTCACCACAGTAATGTGTCTTTAGAACGACACTGGCATCAGCCTGCTTCCGCTGTCTGAAGTCCAGGGAGCTTAGAAACACATTTCAGGATTTGAGACTTCAACCTTCCTCCCCTTCCGTTTTCCTCCTGTCTACTCTCTCCCCCTCCCTCTGCCAGCCACTCCGCTCCCCCAGCCCCTCCCCCACATTCTTTTCAATTCTTCCAGCTTTCCTTGCTGAGTAAACAGAATTCACTTCTCAATTCTAATGCAGTTCTCCAAAATAAACGTAGACAACCCTATCTGATATTCCCAAGATTTAAGAACTGGTTGAAGAGATGCACATAAAGAAATGCTTTTACATGTTGGTGATACATCAAAGGTTGAAAGGAATGTGGAAATTCTATGCTAGGACAAGGTGTGCCCAAGAGCAGGGCCTCGCTCCTATCAGAATGGCTCCCTTATCACTTAGTGCTTACCTCCCCCACCGTGCGCACACACTCTTCCTTTGTTGCTGTGTATGGAAAGGACATGCATACAGACCCGTTCCCCCTCCTGAGATTATAAACTCCTCAAAACCAAATGGCCCCGTCTTAAAATCTTTTTTTTTTTTTTTTAATTCCTGGTTCTGGGTGCTGTCATTAATTGGTTATTTTTGGAGTACATGAATGAAAAAACAAAGAAGGAGATGTTCTTTCTATGTTTGCTTTTCACCTTTTTGAAAATCTTAGATGAAATAACTTGCAGAAAAAGATTCAGCAGTATGCATAAAATTGTAGAAGTTAGCACAGATGAATATTTGGAATATTAACTTTCTCTAAAAGTATTGATTATCCTAACCCACTCACTCCCACCCTCGTTTTTGTTCCAGATTATAACTGTCTGTCAAGAGGCAGCCCTTCTGGCTCTGGAAGAAAACATACAAGCAGAGTACGTTTTGAAAAGGCATTTTACTCAAGCCTTGAGAACCGTGACACCGAGACTTCCCGAATCGTTGAGACGATTCTATGAAGGTTACCAAGAGAAGAGTGGTCTGCATACACTATGAAAAATGGCCTGTGCTGTGTACATTAGACTAAAAACCTCCCTTCTAGAAAAAGATTGCGGTGATTTTCTTTTTGTTTGCTTGGGTTTGGTTTTGTTATTTTAATTTCTAATAGATAAAATGTCTGAAGATAAAATCTCCTAATAAATAAAATGTCTGAAGCATCTTCCTAAGAGTTCTTGTAGATATTTTAAATTATATGGTAGCGTGAGCAGATCCCTGGGCTTGAGTTTAAAGCCATTGTATCTAGAATTGTGTGCTGGTGTTTTACAAAACGGACCTGTAGCTTTTTCCTACTTGAGCTAGTTTGTTCGTCTCATGAACTGCTTTCCTTTACTCCAGAATCCACTTCAGCGCCTTCCTAAATGACAAACCTGTGGACAGGGAATGTGGATAAAAATGACAAGAGTGGATGGCCAGCCAATGATTATGACCAAACGTAACAGCCAGGCATAGGTGGCTGTTTCCAGTGTGTATGTGTTCACATTGTAAGTAACACCTACACTTTTGCTTCACATTTTTAGTCTGTACTAGTGGCAAAGAAAGGGATAACGTTATTTCATATAATATCCTGTGAAAGCTTGAAAAATTAGAAGTATAAACCCAACCTGCGTTTTGAGGGTTTGGTTGTGTTGTTGTTTTGGGGGGTGTTTTTTCCCCCCACACTGGAAATACTATGTGTTCCTGTTTTAACTTGTACACTTCAGTTGCCAGTAAACGTTTTCAGTTCAAAGATAAAGCAAATTGTACTCTTAATCATTTATCTTCAGTTACATTCTAATTATGAGTATTTATGTTCTTAGTTATTTATCGTTAGGATTTCTTGACACTTTAATGCCCTTCAAAACACTGTTTGAAAGTGCTTCTCCGACTTCCAGTTTAGAAGCTGGCAGTGGAAAGAATATGCACTTAAACCCAGTCACTTTAGATCTTTCAAAAACCCCAGAAAGACAAGTCAGGTGAGAAATAACCTAATTATCAAAATACTGGGCCTAGGTAGTTTAGTGGTGGCAGATATTCTGAATGCATGTCTCAGATATTTCATCCTTTGATTATCTGATATAGATTAGCAAGATTTTGATTTCTAGGCAGTGTTTGTTGACTGTTATATAAAGCCATTCAGGAGACCAAGAATACTACTATTTAGATATAGTAGGCACTCATCACTGAGTGGGAAATAAAATAACGCCGTTCATAAAAGAGCCACATAACAAGTGCTGAAAAGTAGCCACGGGGCAAGTGTCTTCTCCTAGGGAATAGAACAGGTTAGCAAACATCTCCAACACTGGAGAAAACTTCTGAACACTTCTGATTTTGATAATAAAGCTAGAACATTCAAACAATTACTTTCATGCTCTTCAGTTTCCCTTTGGTTACTTATAGAGAAAATTGTGAAGAGAAGGACCTAACTTATACCATACCAATGCATAGTTGAAGGCATGAGAAAATAAGAGAACTCATCGCCAAAGGCCAAACCAAGACAAATTTTAAAACAACCACAACAACTACCAGATTCCCAGTAAAATAAACGCTGAAACTCACTGTCAAATTCCAACTCAGAGCTGCCCTATGGGACAGAGTAGAACTGCCCCTGTGGGTTTCCAAGACCATAATTTTTATGTTTTCTTTCTTTAATTGGTATTTGATCCATATATCACACAATTCAGTAGTTGAATCATATCAAAATTGTACACTTATGACCACAATTTCAGAAATTTTTCTTTTTCCCCCCTATGATTCAGTTGCCTTTAAAATGAGTTGTGTAATCACCTTCCGTTCTTGTGCTCCCTCCCCCTCCTGCCTTCATTGTTTATTCTCCAAACACCCTCACCCTCCCCACCCCTACCTCCCCTTGAATATAAGGCAATTGCACTTGTAATTTTTCCAGTGACCCATCCCTCTGGACACTAGGTATGAGGAGTCTGTGCAAATACAGTTCCACTGTGAGCCGCCGCCGCCCAGGAGTTGTTGTTCCATGCAGTTCCAACTCCCATTCCTTTGCAATCTGTTTCCCTTAGGGTCGGTACAAGAGCAAAACTTCTGGATCAGTTCTCCCAGGTTCAAATCCCTACCCACCATATCAAAACCTGCCATGTTGCTGTAAGGGGAGCATTGAGGTACTAAATATATGATGATTATGGGTCCCTTTCCACTGGACACCCACCAAACCTGTGGTCCCATGCCCCCAAGGTCCAATGACCACCACTTCCCCAGGATGGGCCGGCCACTCAGGTTCCTCTCCCATCCGAGTGCCGCAGTCCTCTATCCCAGAATGTTGGCACCTTTGAGTCTGGGCTCAGTTCTTTCTGCTGGGCCTTTATGTGAAGTCTGGTGTAGCCCCTAGATTATGCCCTGCTGCCCTCAAGGTCAGTGTCCAAGGTAGTCACGGTGTTCAGTCCATGGCAGTGTTCCACTGAGGGTTGGGTAGAAATGTATTCATAGTCTACCAGGACCATAAAGTCTGGTCCATTGCCTCCCTACAATTCTCATTTTGCATCCCTTCCCCATGTGCCACGAATGCTCTCCCAATCACCCATTATACTCCCAAAGAACTGTCCGTGTCTCCTCCAAAATGTAGAGGATCCTCCCCCCTGGTCTTGGCTTGATTTGCCATCAAGGTTCTCTTTCCATTTGTGTGTGTGTGGGTTTTTTTGGTTTATTTTGGGGGGAGGGTATTGTTAAATTTGTCTTTCCATTCGTGTGGGGGCGGGGCATTGTTTTGACTGTGTTATAGCTAGTGCACAAAACTGATTTTTTAATATAATGCATAGGTTTTCCATTTTGAAAAATAATGGTCACGTTTATAGAAGAACCAAAAAAACGAGTATATGTTTAATTTCCCTTCATCAGGAGGGCTTCAGAGGCTCTGTAAAGACAGAGTGAAAGTATTCCCCTGACCTGTTGATACTTAAAGGCTTGCATGCTCAGTCAGTAAAGTCTAGGTTTCTTCTGTCATATTTCCTTGACTCTTTCCTTTCAAGATGAGCACACACAGAAGCACCCTTTGAAGTTGTGTGTGGATTAAATCAACACTGGTTTTCAAGTGTGACCCACACAACCAAAACCAAACCCACTGCCGTCAGATTGATTCTGACGCCTGCTAACCCTGCAGGTCAGAGTAGAACTATCCCGTAGGGTTTCGTAGGCTGTAAGTCTTTAAAGGGCAAACTGCCTCATTTGTCTTCCTCCAAGTGGCTGGTGAATTGGAACTGCTGACTGTGTAGTTAGCCCAACTCATAAGCCCCCCTGTCACCAGGGTTCCTTGTGGTCTACATAAGAATCTTAATACTCCAGATCCGCTAGCCTCGTGCAGTTACAGGCATGGAAAGACTTCTAATCTAATGCCTTTGGCAAACATAAGGAAGCCATGGAGCCAAGAATCACAAGCCGGAAGTTCAGACCCATCAGCTGCTCCTCCAAAAATGTCGTCTCTCTGAAACTGTGCGAAGCGGCTCACTGCTCTACCAGGTTGATCGGAGCCCAAATGAGCTCAGTGACAGTGGGTTTTGTTTTGTTATGTCAAACCTGCTCCACTAGCTTATGTTTTAGAAAGACTTGTTGATTCATTAGGATCCCTGGGATGGACTGTAGTGGTTTTGAGTTGGCTGTGATCTGCATGGTTGGCAGTTCAAAACCACCAGCAACTCTGCAGGAAAAAGACTGAGCTTTCCACTCCCGTAAATAGTTATAGTTTTGGAAACCCACAGAGGTGTCACTGTGAGTTAACATAGACTCGATGGTGTGAGTGGGGGAAGGTTGGTGCAATGGTTAAGTGCTCATCTACTAACTTAAGATATCAACAGTTCAAACCCACCAGCCACTCCTAGCAGGAAAATAGCTCATGATCTGCTCCCATAAAGATTCCAGCATGGAGACCCTAGGGGGTAACTCTATTCTGCCATATACGGTCACTCAACATTGGAGGAAACATGTAGTCACGTAAGAATAACAGCTTGTTGGGGAGTTGGCATGCAAGGAACAAATTTCACTCTAGCTAACTTTAGCTGAAGAAAATGTCAGGATTTTAATTTACTTGTAAAAAATTGTTTGAAAATGTTTAGACTTCTTTTTTCAAGACTTAAGGATTAGCACACTTGGTAAGAGGGTTGGGTCAGTGTTACACCCACACACACCAAGGAAAAAAACAAAAAAGTAGAGTCCATGTTTGCTTCGCTTAGGAAACCAACACAACCCCAAACTGCAACATCACAGAATTTCCCTGCAGTTCAAAATACACTCTGAGAACGTGTATATAAGGTGATGCGATATTTATATGGTTTTAGGAGACTATTAATGGTAAGACTCATTATTGATTTATAAGCTACTCTTTGAAGGAAAAAATACTGCTACCCATGTTGGTTTTAATATCAATACTGAGGCAGTTACATAATTTCCTATCAACTTGAGTGAAGGAGTGGAATCTAGGCTGACAATGAGGTAACAGTTTGATGACCTCATTTAGAGGTTCAACGAGGATAAATAGCTCACTGGAGGCCAGACCCAGTCTCTCTGTCTTTCCTTTCCTACTGTTGAGACTCTTAACTGGAGGAGACACATGGAGACCCATCCCAGCGTTGAGATGCTTCCACTGCCACTGGATCCACAAGACCTTCTACCCACTGTACCGTGATCTTCCTGCATTCGGCATCATTGCATGGGCTGTGTGAGGCTAAACAGGAATTTATGGACTAATATCAGATATATGGGACTTAAAGACTTGATCTGGACTGGGCTGGGGTATTTTCTCAATATACAGTTGTTCTTAGATATAAAGTTCTCTTTTATACACATATGAGTGTCTCTAGATTTGTTTCTCTAGTCCTCCTGGACAAACACAAATACATTCCAATTTCAGAAACATTAAAATGTGAAAAACAAAATCAGTTATGCAGTTATGTGAGAAGAGGTCCGGCATGATATAATACCAGTGCCCATCATATATTTCTCATAAGACACAGCCATTAAAATAGTTGCATCAATGCAAACAACAAAAATACTGTCTTGGGTCAAGGAATAAGCATAAATTATAATATGCCAGCTGGAAATAGCAGTGGAACTATTCCAAAAATTAATCTCATCAATGAAGGGCTAGTGAAGTGACTTTTTTACAGTGCAGTGTTCTATTGTGAAAAAAAATGAGCACTTTATGAACTGATTTAGAAACG